CCTTCTACCCTCTTAGTTTCTGTGCAGGACCTGAGAGTTAAACTGACACAAGACAGATGAACAGGAGAAAAACATACACATTTTATTTAATATTTTTACATGCACACAGGAGTCTTCAGAAGGAAGATGAAGACCTGAAGAAGCCACTAGGCCTCAGAACTTATACACTTTTTAAAACAAAAGCAATAAATGATGGGGATGTAACAAGACAAAGGGGCTTGGTCAAGGGGCAGTAAATTGTGAGACAGTGACGAGGGAACATTTGGAAGAAATTAATGGAAGATAAGGGTTGTTTTAGTAGTTTTTTTGTACAGGTCCATTCTGGTATCAACTCCCAGCGTCTGGTGATAGGAATGTGCTCTTCCTGGTGCAGGAAGTGCACCTTTCTCCTGGGAAATTTTAGGACTTGCTTTTAGGTAGACAGGCGAAGCTCAGAGAGTCTGTTCTGTATCTGCTGTTTCTCAAGTGCCTTCAGCTCAAAATAGTCAACATGCCAAAATGGCATATTTTGAGGTGGCATTGTCTGAACTCCTTCATAAATAAGCATGTTGTTGGTAAATAGAGCCAACTTTACTTTTTCCTTTTCAGTTTATGCCTTTTAATTTCTTTTTCCTCACCTCCTTGCACTGGCTGGGACCTCCGGTACATTGGTGGATGGATGTGGTGAGAGGAGCATCTGTACTTTGTTTATGATCTTAGCAGCAATATTTCACCATTAAGAACGATGTTAGCTGTAGGTTTTTCATAGACACTCTTTATTAGATTGAGAAATTTTCCTCCTATTCTCAATTTTCTGAAAGTTTTTTTAAAAATCATGAATCAGATTTTGTCAAGCGCTTTTTCTACATATATTGAAATGACTATATGAATTTTCTCCTTTATTATCTTAATGTTGTGAATTACAGTGATTTATTTTTGTATTTCAGACAACCTTGCATCTTGAGATTAACCACACTTGATCATGGTGTATTATTCTTTTATGTGTTTTCCCACTCAAATATTTTATACAATTTACAAGTCTACTCTTCAGTTTCTGAGGGCAGGTTTTTCTAATTTTATGAAAAATTAAAAGCTTAGTGGAGTAGTTTGGACCTGGCAAAATTTATGAAGGAAGGTTTTAAAAAAAACTACCCTGGAGTACTTAAAGTCAGAACCAGAGCAAGACTATAAGGATGTGTGATACATAATAAAACAGAAATATTTGGTCCTTGCCCTCAGTTCCTGGCACACAGCTCCTCAAACCCTTGGAATCTCAAGAGTGGTAAGTGTCTTTTGTACTAATGAATGACTGGTGGCTAGGGCTCCTGGGTGACTTCAGGATGTGGTGTGGTCACCACATCAGAAAGACTAAGGCATGAGTTAGATAATTGGAACTTTTAGCCCTACTCTCTGACCTCCTGGGAAGGGAAGAGGGCCTGGAGATTGAATTCAATCACCAATGGCCAATGAATCAATCAATGATGCCTATGTAATGGAACCTCCATAAAACTCTCTAAACGAGGGGTTCAGGGAGCCTCTGGGTTGGTGAAGGCATCCATGTGACAGGAGGGTGACGTACCCCAACTCCAGAGGACAGAAGCTACTGTGCTCCACACCCTTCCAGACCTTGTCCAATATACCTCTTCCTCTGGCTGTTCATTTGTAACCTCTATAACATCCTTTATGCCATGGTAATAGAGGGTAGAATGTTTTCCTGAGTTGTGTAAGTCGCTCTGATGAATTATTGAACCTGAGGAGGGAGTTGTGGGAACCTCCTGAATTTATAGCCATTCTGTCACAAGCGACAACCCGGGACTTGCACGGCATCTGAAGTGGGGGGCATTGTTGTGGGACTGAGCTCTTAACTTATGGGATCTGATGCTAACTCCAGGTAGATAGTGTTAGAATTGAATTGATTGGTGACACTCAGCTGGTGTCAGAGAGTTGGAGAAATGGAGTTGGAAGAGACACCACGCATTTGGTGTCAGGAGCTGTGAATAAAATCAGTTTGTAGGGTAAGGAAAGCGTCTTGGGTTCCTCCTACCATTCCTCTCATTTTACTTCCCATTTCTCCCCTCCAGGTTCCGTCCTTCTCCTCCCACCTTCATTTATTCCATTTTCATCAGGGCCTAGATCTCAGCTGGTTGCTATAACCAGACAAGAAACTCTTGAGGTCATCTAGTTTGATCCAATATAAAAAATCCCCTTCTAACTTTAATAAATAGTCACTTGGTCTCAGCGTTAATCTACCTTCCTTCCTCAGAATGTTAGCAGGGTTAAACTATTACCCAGGTCAGGTCATTTGCACTTAGTATGTATTGTTAAAGGCTGCTGAGTTTTCCAGTGCCAGAGGAAGAAGCTACAAAGTGGTGGAAATCCAAGCGTTGACACAGGTGAGGAAGGAAGACTTTGAGGGGCAGAGCAGTCTTTTCAGCTTCCCTAGCATGAGACTAACTAGGCTGTTTCTTAGTCTACCCATTCTGAAACCCCCATGGCAGCCATGGGCCTACTTGTTTTAATCAACGTAGTCATTCCAATCTTTGAATGGCCATTTTCAGTCTTCTATCAGGCCTAGATAAGTGCCATTTCTGTGGGAGAAGTGTTCTGGACAGAACAGCATTTAACTTTTCATCTCTCTGCCTTATTCAGGTCACAAAAGTTTTAAAAGGAGATAAGCCTACACTTGTTATTAGCAATGGAGGAAATACGCAAGAGCTTCTGAATTGGGACTGGTGGGCCTGCCCACCGCAAAGTGCAGTTTCTGTAACCTTCATGAAAATAGTCACCAGAAATACAACTTTTTTCCAGGCTCCTGTTTGGGTGCTCTCCTTCTTTCTCCCACTAGGTGTCACCACACTACACAGTAATGCAGGGAAATGCCCTACAAATGGAGTGTGAGCGGCTTCTAGACTTTAGAGAAATGGTTGCGTTTAGGCTAGCAGCAAATTGGGCATAATTAGTTTACTTAGTAAACTGTATCTGTAAGATATGAATATCACATATAACCAGGCCGGAAAGTAAGTTACTTCATTCATTCACTCTCTTAAAATGCTATCAGTCTTGGAAACCCAAGCAGAGAGGAGCTTAAAGTTATTTACTCTATCTGTAAAAAAACCTGGCTGGATTAAATCAGCTGATGCCCCTGCACAGCTGAGTGGATCTCACCCCTCAGGATATTCAATCTCTTTGTTGAGAGGTTGGATTACCACTAGATCCCTTTATCACCAGAGCTGAGCTCTTGCGGCTGCTGGGGATTAGCCATGATCCTTCTCCATCCACAGCGCTTTAACATCCTTCCTCCTCCTGGTGCCTCCTTTGTGGTCACTCTTCTGTGAAGGCGAAGATAAGATGCCAGAGATAAGGGAGGAGTGAACGTGGCAGCCTCTGCAGCGTTTCATTTCCAACACCCCAGTAGCTCAGCTGTCCCGCTGGTAGAATAAAAGATCTTTCCTATTCCCTGAGCATCCAGCCTCCAGAGGCCAGGCCCGTGAATATCAGCTTGATTTCAAATCTAATTTAGGATATTGGGATGCTTGGTGGAAAACAAAGCACAGCTAATTCAATGTATCTCACAGGATAAGTGATACACAGTTGTAAATGTATCTAAATCTAATGAAGTTTAGCTCCACTAGGCTGGCCCTTCCATCTCCAAGATCCCTTTCTCTGCGTACCACCATCTACCTTCCCATGGATAATAATTGTTAAATTATTATGACCTTCCAGGGGTCAGGAAGCTGATGCGTCCATGATTACCCTGTGTTCTGCCCTTTGACAAGGACAGGATGCCACTGACATCTGGCCCTCCTTTTGGTGCAAGGTTTAAAGTTACATTTCAGCAAGGTCATCTGAGATTGCTGTAAAAATGTTCTGGGAGTCTGTCAGCTCTCAGAGGGAGAATTGGGATTCAGCCACCTTCATTAGCATCAAGCAGCTTGTATAGAGTAACTATCTGTGTCTCACTTAGTGGGGGGCTCAAATGTGTTTTACCCTAAATAAGACATCTCCCCCTCCACACTTCTCCTAAATGAAATCTTAGGCAGAACCAGAGCTGCCACATACAGTTGTGTACAACTCTAGGCAGTGATGTTTGCAATGTCGTCTGTGGAATCATAGGTGGTACATGGGCAGCATCCTAACATATAAAGCAGACAAAAGCAATGTTTTATTGATACAAAAATTGTACATTCTAATTTTGAATCTTTATTTAATAGCCAATCAGTGGGAAATACCCTTTTGATGAAAATAAGAATTTAAAACTGTGAGCTATGGTTGAAAGTTGCCCTTTTATCAGCATCGGCATCTCAGATCATGCAGATAGGCAGCTGAAATCTCAGGAACCCTTTAATCAAACAGATCCAGACACTCTAAAATAAGAGTGGCAGGGATCACACATTTTAAAATTTAGGTAATCTCTGTGGGGCGGCGGGGGAGTGGGGGGTGCCGGGAGCCGTCAGCCTATAAATTAAGCCTCTGCCTTGTGACACGGTCCGGGAGAGAGTTGAGGGGACGCACGGCAACCCTCAAGGGAATCTACCAGGCTGCCCCTGCAATGAGTCTCCCTGGTACTTCTGACTTTTCTGCTTCTGCTCACCCTGTTCTGCACCTGGGGTTATTTCAGGGGAAGTCAGCCCGGCCCTGGGAATGAGAATGATACAATGCAATATTCTAGGGAAAGTTCTGGGGAAAAACATCTTCTAGGGAAAGAACATTCTGACCCGTCCTTTGGTCGGGTGAAGCGATGGGAGTGGAGAGGGAACAAAGAAATCTGTGGCCCCCACAGATCTCCCTAGGAGGACGGTGGTTGCCACGGCCCATTGAGTCAGGAGGCCGCTGGGGGTGGCGTCCTTGAAGTAAAGAATTACAGAAGCTTGACTCCCCCCAGGCCTACACACAATCAATTGCTCTTAGGACTATGGTCTACCTTACAATCAATTGGTCTTAGGACTATTGTTTACCTTACAAAAACCCGCTTTCGCGAGCCAAAAATATGTACTGGGACTGTTTCATGAAATCATCCTTGCATATCCTGAGCCCTATATAAATCATACATACACAAAATAAAGTTAGACTTGGACTTGGACTTGGACACCGAACTCCTTGTCTCACTGCCTCCTCCTTCACCAACGCTGTCCATCCCTCAGGAGACCCTGTTCCGTCTGGGGCTGGACCCCAGCAGGGGGGAAGAAGAGAATATCCGTCAAATGCAGGTACCCTTTAACCCAGCAATTCCACTTCTAGGATGTTATCAGATGTACTCTCAAATATGAAAAATGATCTATCGACAGAGTTATTCATTGCTGCATTGTTGGTAGCAGCAAAAGACTGGAAACAACCTAAATGTCCAATAGAGGGCAAATCACGCAATGGATACTTGGCAGCTCTCACAAGGAATGAGGAAGCTCTCTACATATGGAAAGATCTCGAATACAGGGTCCCAGGAAAAGAGCAAGGTGCAGAAAAGCATGAATAATATGTTACCCTGAGTGTGTGTGTGGGGGGGTGTGTGTGTGAGTGTGTGTATTTGTTTATCTGCTTGTACATGCATAAGAAATTTCTGGAAAGATACCCAAGAAACTAATAGCACTGTTTGCCTCCAGGGCAAGGTACTGACTGCATGGGCAGAGAGAGAGGGTATTTAGTGGAAAGCTTTTGTACCTTCTGAATTTTGAACTATATGAATGTATTACCTAATCAAATAAGAATAATAGCAATATTAATAATAGCTAGATTCTCCACTCCCCAGCACCCCCCCCCCCCCGCCGCCAAATCTACCCAAAACGTACGCTAATCACTGTAGCAGTCCAAGATACAGTATTGTCACACTTAGCCCACTGCTGATTGACTTTGGTGGGGCAGCTTCACACCAGCATCAGCTCACTGATTACACATGACAGCGTAATTTGGTGCTGGGGCTTAAATTCTGCCTCTAGTACTTACTAGTTGTGTGACCTGGAGCAGGTCTGTTTAACTTCTCTGTGCCTCAGTTCCCTTTTCAATAAATGATGATAAATCCTACTTTGAAGGGTTATCGAGAGGACTCGATGAGCTAGTAGTATCTGTTAAGTGGTCAGGGAAATGTTTAAGAAGAACAGCACGGAACAAGGAAACCCACTGTGCCTGGCATTAGTTGTGATGTCCCCAGCTGCAGTGGTGACACTGGTTAAGTGAGAGAGTGTAAGTGTAGCCCTTGACACACAGCAGATACTTGATAAACATTCATTCCCTCCTCACCCACACTTAATTAGGCTGCCAGGGGCTTTATAGACTCACTCTTTCTGAGCAGACTGAGCGGTAACTTTCTGCTGGGTGTATTGTGATCTCTCCATTTCGGTCTGCAGATGGACCCTTTGAGCTGTCTTAGACTGGGTCAGGGTGCTTTTAAAATGAAGAACGTGTTTGGCTCTATTATTTCCATGTCAGTTTCTTAGGTTTATCTAAGTAAACATTTCCATATTTTTTTGGTCCAAGTTTTATATGGATAAAATTGTTGCAGTGGGAATGCACCATGCTGTGAAATGCAGAATCTGTGGCTGTGACTTCAGGCATAAATTGAAGGAAAGGTACAAGGCAATTATACGAATAATGCTGAGAAAAATAGAAACAAAACTAAAAATGAACAACCAACATTTTTAGAATGTTAGGGGTTGTGCAAGCACTTGGCAAGCGTGAGCCTTAACCCCTTTGAGTTAGTTACTCTGATCGGGTACACTTGAGGAAACTGAGGCAATTAGTTCAAGGTTAAAAGGTAGAAAATGGCAGAGGTAGGCTTTAAACCTGAGTCTGGATAATGTCAGTTTCCGAATTTTGTGTATTTACCTTTTCCTCTGAAGCAAATCATCATGAAACTAAATTTATAAGCGTTAAACAGAAATTGCTAATTGATTTTGGGATGTAGTTTTCTAAGTGAGGAAGGGACTGTCATCTGTTCAGTTTCACTGTGTGCTCGGGTCCTTACATACATTGTCTCTTATCATTCTTACATTACCCTGTGAGCTAGAGATTGTCTTCATCTTTCAGGTAGGGAAACTAAGACTCAGAGATGTTAGGTAACTTGCCCAAGGTTGCACAGCAAGTGGAGAAGAAGGCGTTTAAACCGAGGTCTGTGTACTTCCATAGCACTCAGACTTATACTTCTGAAGAACTTCTAGTCATCTTCAGCCTTTTCTTGTTTTTTCTCAAACCCCCTGCTGGGTCATAAGTTCAAAGGGAATTCTGTGCGAGGGCCTCAAAATGGGTCTCATGGAGTTTTGTTTCTCCCAGTTAAGTACCCATGCGACTCAAAGGAGAAGAACTTTCACACTGAGATGAGGTAAGTCTCCATCTCTCAGTATGTAGATTCCATCTACTCTCTCTCTACCTAATACCGTAGTTCTCATTAGAATTTACATTTGTGACATGATTCTTATAACAACACAGTAGTTTCTGCAGTTCTTTATAGTCTGACTTGTCAGTGCCTTAAATTAGGTAGAAGAGGATTCCTTTCAGATTAGGAGCATCTGACAGGGTTTGTTTGGATTTTCTTGACACGGCCGTTTGCAGCCAGATTTTCTCTGAGTGCACAGAACCTGAGGGGACTGACAAATGATAACAGGTGACCCTCAGAGGGACCCTCATGCAAAGAATGCTCTGGGGAGAAGTCCCTGAAGGGATGGAGAGAGACGGGAATGGTGGGTGGGGCACTAGGTTCCAGACTGAGCACTGCGACTGCCAGCTCTGGGATTCCGTATGGGTGGAAGGAGGCTGGGTCTGTGGTCTCTGAAGGAGACTTGAAACCAGAAGGTCTTCACAGGCATTACAACCTGTGGCAGAAGGTGGAAGTATTCTCCACATACAGTAGCCGAGTGCCGGCCATGTGCCAAGCCATCTACTGAGCTCAGTTCAGGGACGATTTGATGGAATCCTCACAACAGCCCTGTGAGGTGGGTTCTGCCAGTATCCTTATTTCACAGATGGAAAGTTTGAGACTCTGAAAGGTACAGTAGCTTCACCCAAGCTCCCATAGCCGGCAAGTGGCAGAGCAGGGGTTCAAAACCAAGCCACATGCACCTTCAGCACTGTGGCCCTGAAGTTGTTAGAGTTATCCATCGTTCTCCTACCCAGAGAGAGCCCATTCTCCGTGCAGATGTATTCACATGCACATAGTAAGACAATGCTGGATCCTACTGTGTGTACTCTCTGGCAATTTTTTTCTCTTAGCAACATACACAAAAGTTTATCTTCATTTTGAAAGTAATCCCTTCCCTCCCTCTTGTAGGGTTCTTCCTGCACAGCGAGGTGGACTGAGCGGTGGAATGCTATGAAGGGCACAAGGCAGACTCACTGCTAAGATACCTGCCAGGGCCTCTAAATGACCCCCAAACAGCCAGATCCTATTCAGCAAAGGGAGAAAAAAAAGAATTTTCTTGGCTGTGTTTCGTAGCTTCCATTAGCTTAACTGTCATCAAGAACAATGCTGAGTCAGGGCCTGAATTATCTTTTTCTCTGCTCCGGTTCTTGCTTTTGGCTTGCTGCCATTCTCTGTGTGCTACAAGGCATGAAGACAGGTCTCCACCTCATCCATCTCTCAAGAAAGGTGATAGGTATCCTATATATTTTAATGGGGAGCAATACAGCAGTTGAGTTAGGAAGATGCATTCAAGTCCTGGCTCCAACAGTGTCGAGCTGTGTGTCCTTGAACGTGTTATTTAATTCAGAGCCTTGGTTTCTTCATCTGTACAGACTCTGCAGCTGCCTCGCTCCTCCGGCCATGGTCAAGGTGAAAGAAAGATAGGCCTGGAAGGTACTCAGCACAGTGCCAAGACACCAGCCCCACCTAGGCTGGGGGAGTTCCTCTTCTGTTCTCTTCAGGGCCACCTGGGGTCATGTTGCTGTTCCCAAACCACTTCCTGAGGCTACCTGGGACCCCTCTGCCTAGACAAGCCTCACCACACAGGGCCAGGTGAGCTCTGGGCCTTGCTACCTACTGCACTCCCTGGGGACAAGGGCACAGCTCTCCCTTTCTCAAATGTTCACAATTAACTGGGGGAGGGCTGTCCTCCTCTTCACCAGGAATTTGGCCCAGAGACACAGGTGCAGGGCGCCTTCTCGGGGATGCATCAGCATCTATGATTTTTATTTTTTCTTCCCGTTTTTCCCACTTGCTCCTTCCCACTAAACTGAGGGAATTTTGATCTAGCCTGGGGTAGGGGACAGGGAGCTGTTGGACAGGATAAGCCATCTCCTCCCATGCATTTTTGCAAGCCTTGTAACTAATTTAAGGAGAGGCTTTTGAAAGTCAAAAGCCAAACATTGATTCCTATATCTGTTGTGTTCTACTATTTCAAAGCAGTATCCTGCCATAGTATCAGGGCTTTACCTAAAGGAGAATGTGATGTAACTCAGTGCCTTTGGTTGCCTGGCTGATATCTGTACAGGTTGGCTGTGTTTAGAGTTCTTGTGTGAGCAGCACCACAAGGAGCGTGTGAGCTCCTCAGTCTTTGGCACCCAGCACAGTGTCTGTCTGGTACACAGCAGGCACTTCATACATGCCTATTGAATAACAGCCTATCTTACCCAAGAGATAGTGTACTCCAACATGGTAAATGTGACTTTTAAGGTCCTCAGTGGTAGTTTTTGTACACAAAAGAGGTTACTCATAAGTAACTTTGATTTTAAAATTAGTCTTTGATTTATTAAAGTTAGAATTTTTTTAAAAAATGCTTTTATTTCTTAAGCTTTTAAATTTAGATTACAAATCTTATTATTTTGTTTATAAGCCCAGCAAGTTCTCACAGTCACTTTTAAGGGCCTTTGATTAATGTTTGGTCCCATTTACAAAATTGGTTAAACTTGTTTTAAACTGCTTTTATAGATTTAATATATTCAATTTCCTTTTAAGTACTATAATTGTCTGACTTAACAAAATATTCCTGAATACTTAAATAACTCTTCTAAATCTAATACGTTAAACCTATAAAAATGGTAAAACTTTAGTTCTATTAAATTATTCAGGTTTGTAATAAACTTATTAAGATTTGAACTTAAAATCACAAGTCTAAATCAAGTATACATTTAAAATTAGAATCACAGGATGACCTTTTGGTCCATTAGACCAAATTCTCTTAAACATTATAAGTACACAAAAGGCCAAAAATGTACAGACTCCTTAATGTGAAAATATTAATACTATACATTTGAAATTCTTAAATATTTCTACTTATTTTTAAAC